TGACATAAAGTAGAGAGGAAAAATGTCTAATCGTTGCACATAATATGTAACGGAGGTCAATAACTAGTCCAATTTTAAAATGTAACTTTTTATAAATTTTATTGTTAACAAATAACAATATAAGATGTGCGTTGACAAAGGTGAGTCTCCAAAAATTAGTTATACTCCGTAGTTAATAGGAAATGGAGAGGGATCCGATAAGAACCACTCCTTGTATAAGAACACTGAAAACCTCTTTACATAAAAACACTTTATGTTCTAAACTTTTTTTTTCCTTATGTTCTAACGTTTTTCCTATGTTCTAATTTTTTTTTCCTATGCTCAAAATTTTTTCTTCTTATGTTCAAAATTATTTCTGATGCTGTAATTTTTGTAGCCTATGTTTTAAATTTTTTTCTATGTTCTAAATTTAATTTTCAGCTTGTTACTAAATTTTTTTCCTAAATTCTAAATTATTCTTATGTTATAAATTTTTTTTCCTATATTCTAATTTTTTTCAGCCTATGTTCTAACTTTTTTCCTATGTTCTAAATTATTTTTCACAAACTTTTATATACGGCTGACCGTATCATACGACCAGCCACAATGTTTTTTTTTCTCTCTCTCTCCTCTCTTCTCTCTCCTCCCCTCTCCTCCATTTTTTCATCCTTGAATCACCGACTTCCTGCTCCAACGATCGTCGTCGACTTCCTTCTCCAACCCAGATCGTCGTCGACTTCCTTGAAGCTCCAACCCAGCTCGTGGTTGTCGTGAAGCTCCTCGTACTCCGTTGCTGGAAAACAATTTAGAGGTTTTTAAGGCCAAATTGAGCCATGAAAACTCTAGATCTAGTGTTTTCATGATCGAATTTGGCCTTTTTAGTCTATTTGAAGTGAAATTTGAAGTCAATGTTAATAAGTAAGGTGTAGGGGTGGGACTTTTCAAACCGAACCGTGAAACCGTCCGTTACCGAGCCGAACCATCACGGACCGAACCATTTATAACCCGCTAATTTTAAACCGAAAACCGAACTGAACCGTATAATGTCAAACCGAAACCGAACCGAACCAATTAATGTTAACCCGTTACGAACCGTAAACCAATAACAAACCAAACCGTTTATAAACCGAAACCGTTTGAACCGATTAATGTTAACCCGCTAACTGTTTAAACCGAACCGTTTATAAACCGAAACCGTTTAAACCGTAGGAAAAAACCGTTTAAATCGAACCATTTACAACCCGCACCGTTTAAACCGAACTGTTATAACCCATTAAACCGTTTAAACCGAACTATTTTCAAACCGCAACCCGTTTAAACCGATCCGATTACAAACTATTTAAACCGAACCGTTTACAACCCGTTCCATTCAAATTGAACTATTTACAGCCTTTAACAATTTGTTAGAATTCCACGAAATATATTTGATGTTTAATGTAATTTAACAGTACAATTTTTTTTACATATAATTATTGATTTAAATTTGTAAATTTTTTTGCTATTATAAAATTAAAATTATATTCTTGTATAACTAAATTAGGAGTTATAAATTAAATAAAAAAATGAAAAAATTTGGCCACCCACCCAATCCAACCACCCTCCACCCACCCACCACCGTAACCCACCCTAACACCACCCCCGCCGTCACCCCAGACCTACCCTAACACTACCCCCCACCCACCACCGTTACCGTAACCCACCCCCACCCCACCACCGTTACCGTAACCCACCCCCACCCCACCAACGTCAACCCAGACCCACCCTAACACCACCCCCGCACCCACCATAATTACCGTAACCCACCCCACCCCACCCCACCACCCACCGTAAATAAAAAAAACCCAGACCCAAACCTTACCCCACCCCATCCACCACCGTCACCGTAAATAATAAAAACCAAGACTCATACCCCACCCCACCTACCACCATCACCGTAACGTACCCCACCCCACCCCCTTAACAAACCCCACCCCACCCCACCCACCACCGTCACTATAAAAAAAAAAAAAAAAAAAAAAAAAAAAAAAAAACAGACCCAGCCCCAACCACACCCACCACCGTCACCGTAACACACCCCACCCCATACAAAAAAATCGAAAAAAAACCCAAACCCACCGTAACCCCACCCCACCCACCCCCACGAAACCCAACATCCTCGAAACCCCCCAACTCACTCTAATTGCTCACCCACCATAAAACTCCCTCCCTCCCTCGAAAAATCCTCCCTCCCCACCCACCCGAACCCAGTCTAACCGCCGCCGCACCCACCCTAACTCGGCCCCCTCCGTTGCCCACAACTTGAAAAAAAATTAAAAAGAAAAACAGAAAATAAAAAAAGGAAGAACGAAAACACCTTATATATTAATCCTGAATTTGGCCTCGAATTTGGTTTTAAAAGGCCAAATTCGATCATGAAACAACTAGATCTAGAGTTTCGTGGTCGAATTTGACCATAAAAACCGTCGTGCGTGGTGCCGGTGGACGGAGACGGAGAAACGAGATGGAAGAAAGGAGAACATAGACGGAAGAAGGAAGAAGAAGAAAGGAAGAAGGAAGAGGAGATGAGAGAGAAAACGAGAGAGCAGTGAGCATATTAGCAGCCATGGCTTCAAAAAATTGATAATATTACAGAAGAGGATTAAGAAAACGAGAGAGAAATAAAAAAGAGTACTAAAGAGACGATGGTAAGAGTGATCTGATTGGTGGAAAAGAAAACACACGGATCGTGAATTGGAATGTGTGCGATGATAGGCCGTTAGATGACATGCAAATCAATGGTTGATATTTAATATAAGACGGTGACACGGATCATGGGATAATGGATTTGGATAGTATGTTTTTTTTTTTATTCATAGCTACGTACTAATAAAAACACTACTGTACTCTTAACTTTATGTAACTTATAAATTGTAAGAAACACAAATGTTTGGAAATTGGAATTGATTCAATATGACATATTTAATGTATATTAGTTATATGTATATCAGTATATGTAATAAATAATAATGTATGGTACGATTGGTATCATACTATCATTGGTATGTATAGATAATCGATAAATGTATCTGATTATTAAAACTTAAAACAGTTGATCGATCTAATTGAATACTTCTACTTCCCCACCCGTTTTCTGTAACTTGCAAGTTGCAACATATATATGTTGCAGCCTTGTAGGCACGTAATCTTAAAAGGTGATTAGAGAGGGTAAGACAACAAAGTAATTCAGCAATATAACTTTAACACCAAAATTATGGAATAGTTACAAACAATTATCAATTATTACTTTATTAGACTAATGGGAAATTGAATAATCGTGATTTTAATAAAACATCCAAATATAGTTCCGTAACATTAAATTATTAGTTTATTACAATATCAATTATCGATTTATCGTATTCAAAGTATTAATTCATCAAATCATGGTTATGACGCGATCTTTAAAACAATTAAAACAAGAAGCTGATAGCCTGATAATATTTGATAATGAAACAATAATACATTAATAACCTTATAAATTTGTAATAGACTAATATTTAATAAACAACAACAAGACTATAACCAAATTTGAAACATAACACATTAACATGATATAGAATGAATGAGAATTTCTGTAATTCTATATAATCTGATATCTGAATCGATTTATCGTATTCAAAGTAGCAACTCATCAAAACATGGTCATGACACGATATCTAAAACAATCCAACAAGAAGCTGATAACCTAATAATATATATTTAATAATGAAACAATAATACATTAATACATTATAAATTTGTAATAGACTATATGATAATATCGAATAAACAACAACAAGAGTATAACCAAACTTGAAACATAACATATTAACATGATATAGAATAATTGAATAAATGAAGATTTGTGTAATTGTATATAATCCGATGTCTGAAAATAAAGTGACGAAGTCCCAACTTTATATAAAACGAAAATAGCTAACCGGGTCAAAAATCTCTTAAAACCCAATTTCTACTCGATCCATTATTTTTTTCACCAACCTATGCCGACCCGCTAATGAAATGAAAATACTAGTCCCAACTTGATATAAAACAAAACGCGCTAACTGGTCAAAACCACTTTTTAGAACTCGATTTCAACCCGATCCAATTTAACCGATTACCAAACTAACCCGAACGATTTTAGCACCAAACCGAGTATAAACCGAACCGATATGAATCGAACTAGCATTAACCCGGGTAAACCCGCCCCTGAACCGACCCATTTCAAAATAATCCGTTCATGACCCGAATCGATATGAACCCGGACCGACGTTGACCCGGTAAAACCGCCCCTGAAACGATCCGTTTCAAACCGGTCAGATCATGACCCGAACCGTTTATAAACCGAACGGGCATTGACCCGGGTAAACCCGCCCCTGAACCGACCTGTTTCAAACCGACCCGATTATTAACCGAACCGTTTAAAAACCGAACCGGCATTGACCCGAGTAAATCCGCCCCTGAAGCGACCCATTTCTAACCGATCTGATTATGACCCGAACTGTTTATAAACCGAACCGTTTATGACCCGAACCGAATTTAAATCGTACAAAAATAAACCGAAACCGAACCGACCTGTGACTAATCAAAATCGAACTGAACCGACCCGCCGTCTAAATGAAACCGTTTTAACCCGAACCGTTTCAAACCGAAACCGTTTCAAACTGAGGTCAAACCGAACTGCCAGATCGAAATCCCACCCCTAGTAAGGTGTTTTGGTTGGATTTGGTTTTTTTTTGTGGCAATGGAGTTGGTGGCAGTGGGTATAAGAGGTGGTGGGTTGTTGGGCGTGGTGTGGGTTGCTGGTAGTTGGTGATTGCTGGTGGTTAGGGTGGTTTTTGGGATCGGAGTTGGTGGTCACCTAAAAGCAGAACACTAACCCTAATGTCTGAAGAAGAATTAAAATCCTCACTCTAGCCATTAGTTAATGAGGCAGACCCCATTGATATCAGTTATTAACAATTGATGTTTATAACATGCCACTGTAGAAAAAAGTATTAATAAAATATTGGAGTTGTGATATGGAGTCCGTTTTCCATTATTTTATATTAAATGCTTCAACGGTAGCAAAGTAACTTGAAACTTAACGCCGTCATCCCACTTTACTGAAATTGGAGAGAGAGAAAGCATCAATCTTGGACAGGGAAAACTTAAATTGGAGAGAGAAAGCATAAATTGGGAGAGAGAGAATCCTCCACCTGAACCTAGCGAAACTATCGTCGGTGAAGATGGTGGTGCTTTGTAATCCGCCAACCTTTGTCAACAATTTGTAATCAGAAGTCCTCTCACTCGAGTTTGTGTACAGTAAAGGGGCGATTTGAAGCTGTGCTGGAATGGGCGATTTGAAGCTGTGCTGGAATGGGCGATTTGTGTACAGTAAAGGGGCGATTTGAAGCAAGGTTGACATTTGAGGTATGTTTTCCAAATCATTGTTCCAGTTGTTTGTATCATGTACTCCGGTAGCCTTCGTGTTTCAGATTGGCTTAACTAATTGAATTGGGGTTTTTTTCTACTCATTGAAATTGTGCTATATAATTTGTAATTTGTGGTTTGAGCCGTTAGTATAAATGACTTAGCTAATCTAATTTGTGAATTGGTCACAAGTGGTAGATGAATGTTTGGTTTCTTATTCATTGATCCAATCTGAAACATGGCTTTGGGTTCTTATTCATTTGTTGGTATGTTGTACTCCGGTTGCTATGTTGTTTCCGATTGGCTGACTTTAGTATATTTGGGGTTTATTGTAGTTATTGAACTTGTTGTATGTAATTGTAAAATATTGGTATGAGTCGTTAGTGTACTTGAGTTAGCTAATTTAATTTCTATAAATTTAAATGTTTGGTTTCCATTTAGGGGAGTTGTTATTGAAATTCTTTACCCCTTACATTTTGAATCACATTAGCTTTTTTATTTATGTGTATTGTCATTTTGTTGAATTATGAACTATGGACTTTGTGAATAAGTTTGCAAGAGTTCCTTGTCAAATGCTTATTTTTTTGTATAAAATATATGTGAGTGAAATATTTTATGTATTTTTCCTCTGGTCTGTGAGGTATATCTGTATGTGTTTCTTTTTTCATTGTGATAAAAGTTAGCTGATTTTTTTTGTCATTGTAATTTGGTAAATTACTTGTTTTAGATGTTAATGATAATTTATTTTTTGCTACCTGGTTGGTGCTGTATGATTAAGTGTGTGTGCTATGGATGGTATGGAAGATTTGGGACTTGTTAGTGAGTCGACCATGTTCGATGATTGTGTGCCTGATACTCCACCCGAAACAGAAATCCCATCTTTGGATAGTTTGACTCCTTATGTTCATCCCTCCCAATGTACTGAGAATGGACTTCAATTCACATTCCCTGTTAAAACTCTAGAGACCGTGGAAACAATAGTGTCAACAAACAAGGTTAGTGTGTATTGTACAGTCGAACCACCTAGAGTTGGTATGGTTTTTAAAAGGTGGCAGGATATTGAGAGTTATTATAAGGAGTACGCGGAACAACATGGCTTTGGTGTTACCAGGCAATCAGGTTCATATACTAAGGAAAAGGAGAGGAGAGCGATAAATTAGCGATGTGAGTGTTGGGGCCCCCCTGATATGAGGGCAAGGAGGGAAGCTAGGAAGAGGGAGAAGGCTATGGAAGTGTGTGGCACCGGTGGCTTAGTTAATGGTGAGATTGGAGAAAATGAGTTGGTTCGCGGGAGGAGGACCTCCAAGAAGTGTGAATGCCAAGCTAGAATATATGCAAGTCTGACTCCTGATGGTGATTGGGTTCATAAGACAGTTGTGGTTGATCATGTTCACAAATTGGACCCTAGTGGTGCAAAATTGGTAAAGGAATACCGCATGAAAAACTATACGTCTTCTGTTCAGAAAAAGTTGATGGACTATTACGAAGAAGGTGTTTTAGTGAAACAAATACATGGTTGCATGGCTACTGAGTTTGGTGTTGAGGAAAACCTGCCTACTGTTAAGGATCTTCAAATGAGGTTTCTAAATAGAGAAGGTTGAAAATGGAAGGTGGTGACGCTGCAGCTGTGATGGCCTATTTCGACCGTATGCAAGCTAACAATCAGAACTTTTACCACGCTCATCGATTGGATGAAGAGGGCCGGCTGAAGGATGTTTTTTGGGTCGATGCTAGGAGCCGTGTTGCATACGAGGAGTTTGGGGACGTCGTATGCTTTGATGCTACGTATCTTACCAATGAGTATGAGCTCCCCTTTGCTAACTTCGTGGGGGTAAATCATCATGGACAATCTTTACTTTTGAGTTGTGCCTTAGTTTCACATGAAAATTGCGACACCTTTTTATGGGTATTTCAGCAGTGGCTTGCCTGTATGGGGAATAAACCGCCTGATGCAATCCTGACAGATCAAGCTCCTGCCATGAGGAGGCTGCTGCAATCCGTGATGCCATCAACTCGTCACCGGTGGTGTATTTGGCACTTCCTCAGGAAGATTCCAGATAAGTTGGGCAAGTGTGAAAAGTATGTTTCTTTTTGTTAGTTTGATATATATCCTTGGTACATTGCAATTGAATGTTATGTGTTTTTGTCATCATTTTCAATACTTTAAGCAGTACTGCATTGTCTTGGTGTTTCAGTATTTGCAAGTTCTGCAATGCAGCGAGGTTATCAAATTTTTTTTATGAAGTCTTCCTGTTTTGAACAGGACACCTGCATTGTATATTGCTGTTGAACTGCTGGTGATATTGTTTCATCCTGCTTATTTATGTGTTTGCTGATATCATTCATGTAATTAATTAGGTACCCTGCTTTGTACAACTACCATAGTATTTTCATTGATACTTTTTCTTACTAATTTTGTAGAAAATACCTGAGTTTACCCATACATAACTTTCAGATTCTCATTTGACTATGCCTTATTCAGTGTTGGTATGTGATGAGTTGGTATGTGTTGAATGTTGTGTGATGACTTGGGGTATGTTGAATTAAGGATGACAATTTTATATGGATATCCAGTAATCCGCTCCACCCGCTCTAATTAAATGGACGAAAACCCGACTTATACGGATGAAAGGCGGGTGGTGGATGAAACGGATGACGGATCGGGTCGGATTCGGGTGGAACTTTTAGTCATCCGTCACCCGTTTAACATCCACCCGTTTAATTTTTATAATAAAAAAAATATATGCCCTGAAATTAAATAAACCCTAATCTAAATTTCAAGCAGCCACCTTCTTTCATTTTCAATCTCTCTCTACAGTCTACTCTCTCTCTACCTTTCATTCTTTAGGCTCCACCCTCACCGACGACTCCACCCTCACCGGCGGCGACTCTACCCTCACCGGCGACTCCATCTCACCTTAGTCACCTACGACGTCCAGCGATTAAGGTATAATATTATACCTTTTATTTTTTAATTTCCCTATTTTAATTTGTTCTTTTGACACACCATCTATAAATCAATAGTCCAAGAATCGATTCTATGTTTGTGTGTTTCGATTTAACCATTTTTTTTTATTAAAGATTGTTAGATTTTTGATATGTATTTAATTTGTACATAGTTGCATTCAAAATTTTCAAATAAGTAGTAGCTCTGAAATTTGTTTTATTTTTCTTCTATATTAACGTTTATGATGTTTTCAATTTTAGATCTAAAAACTTCAACTTTTATGCCTAATTTTAAATTTGTATATCATTGTAAATAATAAAAGATAATTAAAAAAATTGGTGAGATTATGCATGTTGTACTCTTGCTAAAGCTGCTAGTTTGAACTTGATATCAATCCTATTTTTTATACTTTTGTTATAGGATGATGGGTGATAATAATGATCTTGATTGTGGGTATGATAACTATGATTCTTCATGCCCCTCATCAAATCCTTCTACTGTACCTACTGCATCACCTTCTCCACCACCTACAATACCACCTCCTCCACCTCGTCAACCAAATACTAATCCCTCACAATCTGTACACATGTCTTCTCAACCCGATGAAAGTGAGACATCCACAAGAAAAGCAAGAAAACAGACTTCAATGCTTTGGGAACATTTTCAAAAGATTACAATAAATGGTATGCCAAAAGCAAAGTGTCTCCATTGTGATCATATCTTGTCGGCAATAACCAAAAATGGAACATCACACCTTAAGGACCACATAAATTTAAGGTGTACTAGAAAGAATTCAAAGATCGATATCCGACAAAAGATTTTGAGTGTCAACCGCAAATCTGATGGGTCAACTAGAGTTGAAAATGATAACTTCAGCCAAGAAGTTTCAAGGAGAGAATTAGCTAACATGATAATTATGCATGAGTATCCATTGTCTATAGTGGATCACATTGGTTTTATGAGGTTTGTGACTAGTTTAAATGCCCATTTCAAGATAATATCGCGTAATACATTACGGGCTTATAGGCGTCGCTCGAAGTGTGTCTACGTTAAAGCATGTGGTGAATATGCTTGACACTCATAGGAAGTGGGAATTGACATAATACGATAAGGGACACGATTAGGGACAAGGAAAGTAGGGAGCCGCCAACAAGTTTTTAAGAAACTTGTAAACCGTTCACAGATCATAAAAGGCAACCACGATAAAGAGACAACGAAGGCAACGACGATTGACCCGTGAAGGTTACACCCCATTCATAATCCATGAGATTACTAACTCCATATGGTTCGGAACCACGAAAGAAGGATCGGGAATGATGGTACGAAGTGAGTCATGGAGTCACATTCGCCCGTATTGGCCTCTACTTGATTCTTATAGTGAAAAATAATTCCTGTGTTCTCAAAGGCATACAAACAAAATATTTAATTCGCTCCAAACTATTATTAGGCTAAATTGGTTAAATATTAATGCACACATTATTCTAAAATATTGGTGATCACTTCAATTAATAACAAGATTAAAAAGGAACCTAAACCGGTTGTCCAAATTATCTTATTAGGCGTGATTTTCAATTACATATTCCCTTTAAACATGCAATATGGTGATCATAACAATAATAGAATAAACATTAATATTGGAAGCAATTCAACAATAATTCCAACAATATAAAATCGTTAGAAAAGTAATAGAAATAAGAGGAACATAATTCTTACTTTGATTCTGTTTGTTTGCAACTACAAAATAATAAACGAGTTAGTAACTTCAAGGAAATAATAATAAAAAAACAATTAAATCAAATTAAATAAAGTAGAGTTGATTTGGGGTCAAACTCTCAAACAGTTCTACCTTTCACGCCTTGGCTTAAGGACAGAACCACGAGTAAAATATGGACTCCTTTGAGTACTTGAAGAAGGAATTTTGAAATAAGAAGGGTAGGCTAGTGTTTAGGCTAAAGCATAGAAGAGAGAAAAATAAACTAGAGAATTAATTGATGCCCCGTACATCAGAAATGAGGGGGTATTTATAGAGAAAATGTGCTAAGGGAGCACACGAAACCCTAAAATGATAAAAACACTAAAAAAGTATCCCGCGACACGGCAATCTGTACCTTGACACGGGAAGTCCCACCGTCAGATGGGAAGCTTTCCCGTGACACGTTGTATTTTTGGTGTGACGCGGGAAATTTTTCAGTAAACGGGGAAGAAAACGCGTTGCGGGTTTACGCGGAAAAGACACGGAAATTCCCGTGTCACGGCAGATTTCCCGTGTCACGGGAAATCCCACCGTTAGATGGGAATGATTCTCGTGACACGGTGGGTACCTGCAGTGGTGCGGGAATTTCCAGCCCGCTTTTCCGTCTAAATACATTTTTAACCCTAATTTCATTCGGCATTTTAAGTGCCGATTGATAATTTCGGGCCTTTTCTGATTTATTATTATTTGGGCTAAAATAAGAAAATAATTAAATAAAATAAATAAAAGGTTTGGGCTAAAAATTAAATAATAAGTTTGGGCTGAAATTAAAACTATGCTTTTACCAAACATCAAGACTTGTCCATGGACTGTTCAAAAATATGAATTTAATCAAATACGATTTTTTAAGCACTCTCGGGATTAAATACTGAACCCGACCAATAGTGGCGGTGAAAGGTTGTTCATCATCGGGTTTGGTTTTGGGGAGACATTTTTAGGTGTCTACAGAAGCCCCCACTTTGACTGAGTTTGTAGAAACGTCAGTTTCGAAAATGATAGTCAAAATAGTCGATAGGGACGAAGAATGATTTAAGGCATTCGGCGATCCTAAACCACTCTGTATACGTCGATACATGCAGAAAAATGTTAATTCCACAGATAAAAGAGTAGAAGTATAGAATACGTATCTGGCACCAGTGTATCGGCGACAAATGAATTTGGCAGCTTCCTATGCTTGAAGGAATCCACCGGGTGACATTTGTTGAAACGCTTTACATGCTTGAGGAAAGCCGACTGAAGAGTTTGGTAGTTTTCTAAGCCTGAAGAGACCTACCAGATAATACTTTCCATGCTTGAGGAAAGTCGACGTATGAATTTGGTGTCATTCTATGCTTGAAGAAATCCACCGATAATGCCTTCCATGCTTGAGGAAAGCCGACAAAGGAATATGGCGGTTTTCTTTACTTGAAGAAAAATCCACCGATAACGCTTTCCATACTTGAGGAAAGTCGACTTGGCGGTTTTCTATACTTGAAGAAAAATCCACCGATAACGCTTTCCAAGCTTGAGAAAAGCCGACTTGGCGCGGTTTTCTATACTTGAAGAAAAATCCACCGATAACGCTTTCCAAGCCTGAGGAAAGCCGACTTGGCGGTTTTCTTTACTTGAAGAAAAATCCACCGATAACGTTTCCAAGCCTGAGGAAAGCCGACGACTACTGTAATTGCTGAAATTTGCAAGTGTATGATGGTTCGATTATCCCCGAACGTGGGCCACAGATGATTCACACCTTTCAAGTCGATTATCCGACCATATTAGGTGCTTAAAATGTCGAAAAATAGACTTTGATGCTTGCTAGGGGTAAAATGGTAATTTTAGTCCCCTTTAAGTATCAGTTAGAATTTTCCGCGTAATTCCAGCGAAAAAATAACTACCCAAAAGCCTCGAAAAATCATTCAAACTGGTCAAAAATGCCAGGAATATTCGCTGACAATGTGCAGAACCACCGTGCCACGTGGCAATATGCCGTGACACGGTAACATTCCCCTTTAGACGGGATAGAACCCCGTGTCACGGGACATTTCTTTGCTGTTTGAATTGGTCAATGGCGTGGATTTTCATGCTTTTGACCCACAAATCCCAGCGCGCCACGTCATCAGAAGACCGTTACACGGTAACAGTTACTTTTTGGCTTAAATTCAAGCTTTGCTTCACCTTTTTCACCATTCTCTTTATTCATTTCCTCTCTCTTCTCCCCATTTTCGATTTTATTTCTTGCTCACATACTACCCTGCCACGGCAAGGCTGCACCGGCGTGTTGCCGTTTTTACCGTGTCACGAACACAGTCACCATGACACGGCGGCGTTGCTGTTTTTTTTGTTTCTTGTTTTTTTATTTTTTTATTTTTTTTGCTACTTCTCTGTTACTGCTGCTGTTCAGAGTTCGTTGCTGCCGTCGCCTGAAGTCGCCGCTGGTGTCGCCGGAGCTTCGTCGCCTCCCAGGTTCACCGTGACACGGGACCTGCTCACCGTGTCACGACATTGACTGACCGTGTCGCGGTTGCCCCCGCTGTTGTCTTCACGTTTTTTTCGAGCTTCGGGGCTCAAATTCTCATCACTTTTGCTCTAATTTTTTGCTACTTCCCTCATTTTCGATTCTCCACATGGATCCATGTAAGTTTCCCTTGATTTTTCTCTCGAATTTGCTTCAAATGAGTAATTTCATGTAAAAACCTTGAAAAAAATTAATTTGGGGTTTTTTTGATTTTGAGGTTTTATGTTGAAATTCTTGTCATGAATTTACTTGTATATATATGTATGTTGTTTGTGTGAAATTTGAGACAAAAATTGCATGATTTGATGGAGAATTGAGCAAATCACCATTTTTGGGTACTACTTTTTGTGAAATGATGTTCTTGTTGTTCATGTTACTTCTTTGCACTTGAAATGGTGAAATATTGGTGGTAGATCTTGTAAAATATGTCACAATGTGTTGATTAATTGTTTTTGTGCAATTTCAAAACATATTTCGTGTATGTACTATATCGTCATGGAGAATATAGTATCATGCGGCTAGGAGAACTGTAGTATTAGTTTGTCATGGAGAAACTAAATACTATAACTAATTCCATTATTTTGCCAATTTTTATCCTTGAGGTAAAAATTTAGCGTATAATGCGATAAACAACTAAATAACTTAGGAAGTGATGCTAAGCTTTTAGATCTTTATTTTTATAATAGCATGCCTAGGCGACGGGACCGCGATCTTTCCACCCATGGCCGGCGTCAGGCTTTTTGGGAGGACACTCCCACTATTCCCGAGAGTATGGCCGACGATGTCTTAGAGTCTGAGCCTCGGGCTTCTACGAGTAGAGGTAGGTGGGTTCCACCTCTGTGGGCTCCAGACCAGTTGGTTTTCTGTCGTGAGAACCACGTTTCTCATCGCCCACTTGCCGGCATAGTCGATGGCATGCTTCGCTACCACGGTTCTAGAGCTGGAGATTTGATTCCTCGACTTTACCAGATTATCACGAGGGATCCTGCTACGAACGCCTTATGTGAATCGGCTGGTTTAGTGGATTTTTATTCGGCGGTCGTTGGGTTTCGCAGCCCCCGGGGTTGCGGTGCGACCGTCGTTCGCGCATTGTTGGAGTATTTTTGGGATACTACCAACACCTTTCATTTTGCTTGGGGGGAGATGATAGTGACCCCTATGGACTTCAGCATGATTAGCGGGCTGCGCTTCACTGACCGGGCCGTAGCTCAGATGTCTGATCTTTCTTGGGGAGCGGCTGAGGTAGCTGATTTGTTAGGTCCGATTGTTCAACATATTAGAACCCGGCCAGTGTCTCGAGGTGGTCCTAGGAGCGGGGATCGGAGCTGGCTTCAGTTCTAGCTCGTGGTTTCGACATGGAGGAGACATCGGCTGAGCAGCGAGTGGGGATCTTCATTCTGATTCTGATCTCCATGACTCTTTCTCCTGATAGGAGTTCACGCGCACTCCTTTGCTACCTCCCTTCTTTAGTCAGGATCAGTGAGATAGGATCCTATAGTTGGGCTAGCCTCGGATACGCCGACCTTCTCTTGTCGTTACGTTAAGGCTGTCGGCAGCTGAACGACGAGTCTCCCATCACTGTCTACGGTCTGTGGAGAGTCGTAGAGGTGATGATCTTTTCCTCTTCTTGTTTTATTTTAATTTGTTCGACTCATGTGCTCAAAGATTACTTTTCATTGCAGCTATGGTTCTACAAGTACTTCCCAGGATTGGCACCTCGACAGCGTCGTGGAGCGGTTCATGACTTCCCTGTCGGGGCCAACTGGTGTAACCGAGGAGAGTCACGAGTGGAGTCTGTCCCTGCGTTGCGCGGGCTGCTACGCCGAGGCACCTCTTCTGTTGGCGTAAGAATTAGTTTTTTTGCCTGTTATTTTCTCTTTGACGTTATTTCCGGTGTTTCATGCCAACTTTTTATGGTTTTCAGGTTGCCATTGACGTCCAGTATCGTCCTTGGGCAGGGATGACTGATCTTCCCGAGGCCTTGCATCTTTCAGCGCACCGTACCATTTTAGTTGGTACCAGACGCTTTGTCTGGTATTTGGGGGAGCGTGTCGTTCGTCAGCATAGCGGTGATCGCTTTGTGGTGCCCTCATCTCCACCGGAGTCGATGCTGGAATCGCGCTTGCTTAGGGAGTTGATAAACAGGGGAGAGCGCTACACTTTTCCCTTGCAAGAGCTTGTGCACATGGAGGGTGATTACGCGCAGGACTTGCTTCCCTCTCTAGCTCCTCCACCCCGCCTTCTTGAGGTATGATTTCTTTTGAGGATTTTGCTACTAGTCTCTGTTTAAATAGTCGAATAACTTGATTATTTAATTGTATTTTCAGACGACTGTAGGCCCTGTGGGGAGGATCGAGATTCCGCCTCTGTCTTTCCGCTACCCAAGGCCGATTGGTATTACCGAGGACCACATTGCTGATGCGCCAGAGGGTTACAGACAGGCGCAGGAGTCTCTGCCCGAGGTTTTTGAGCCAGTAAGTTTTTGATGCATTATTCATCCTTTTAACACCACTTGTTACTGATTTTTCCTTGTTTTGTTCTCAGCCTAACCGCCCGGAGATGATGGGATTCATGAAGCTGGTTGATGCTCTGAAGTATTGCATCATCAAGTTTCGGCGTGGTGCGAGTTGTCAGAGCAGTTTTAGCGATGTTCTTGAGGTATGCTCATTTTTTCCACTTCTACCATTTGTTTTATTTTTCATTTGTTGACGCCTTTTGATTTTGTATCTTTCAGGAGCAACGAAGGTCCCGCTCACGATCGAGGCATAGAGGCTTGGACGAGGAGGAGCTTGGTCGTGGTAGACGATCTCTTGCGGTTAATCGACATTCTCAGTCTCAGCGAGAGCCTCAGATTACTCAGGCGTTTCAGGAGACTCAGTGGCAGCCTCAGTCTTCCCAGCGCTTTCAGGGTCAGATTCAGGGGCAGCGGCAGTCGTTTTCACAGCCTTCACAACCCGATTTTAGGCCTGTTTTGACTCCCGTGGATCCTAGTTTATTTTCAGCTCCATCGTCTGGGATTCCTCCACCGGTGTCGGGCTTGTTCTCAGTTCGGATGTGTGGGACGATGCCTCCACCGACGATTCCCGTGTCTTTGAGTCAGTCTACACCGTTTGCCAGTTGGACGGGTCCTGCCTTGAGTTTAATTGCTGCTGGAGTCACATGGACTAGTAGGGACACTACTCCCCGTACTCGGATGATGGCGGGACTCTTTGGCTCACCATTCCCGTATACAGAGGGTGGAGATGATACTGACCCTAACTCTTCTAGTTCTGCAGACTTTTGACCGAGGGTCTTTGTTTGTACATATTGTGATGACACTTGACGCTGTTTATTTACTATGACTCATTTTGTCTATTATTCACAGTTTATGCATTTATTATTTTGTTGGTGTGTGCTTGAAACTCATTGTGTGTGATCGTGTATTTATTAATGACGCGACAAAAACGTAAGTGGAGTAACTGGAGGGTACCGACCTTCCCCAAAAGAAAGAGAAATAAAAAGACAAGAAAAAATAAATAGAATAAACAAGTAATATATAAATGAAAAAGAGAAGATAGAAATAAAAAGGATGAAATACTAAAGTAATGAATCAAAATAAATTATGAAAAAAGAAATGATAAAAATAAATAAATAAAAATAAAAATAAAAATAATAATAATAAAAAAAGTTGAGAATTTTATTAGGAATGAAACTCCCAGAAAACTGAAAAATAAACGATGCAGATAAAATATTAAAAAAAATCCGGATAGGTACGGGAAAAGATAAAAAAGACAACGCGTAGGGTGCCGCGACACGACACTGCACACCGTGTCACGGCAAAAATTGCCGTGTCGCGGAAAAAAATTCCTATGACACGGTGGGATTCCCCGTGTCACAGTGCGCGTATTCTACAACGTGTGGTTTACGCGTACGAAAAGATAATTTCTGACTAGTATATTCATGATATGCATAATTACGAAACACAAAATAATTAGAATTTCATATTTCAATAATAATGTCTCAGAATTTTGATAATACATTGCGCGATTGGTCTTATGCTTTGACCAATGCTGACAAAAGAGAGTTAGAATTGTTTCATGTCAGGGGTTTACTAGCCCTGAGGCATGTGGCGATTGAACATGATTTTCTTAGGGCAATATTAGACTATTGGAGTCCAGAAACACATTGTTTCAAATTTGATTACGATGAAATCCGTCCCCTGCCGGAGGAATTTGGTGCAATCTTTGGATTTCCTGCTAGAAATCTTATTGCCATGCCTACCCTGCGTGAATATTATTACCAAGATTTTGAACGCCATCTGAATCTAACAGATCCAGATTTAAATAGAATTGTATGTGGTAATGAGGTAGACTTAGAAAAACTTGCAAATTTATATTTTAATCGCCCTATCTCCGAGTCTTATCATGTATATCGTAGAAGGGCATATATTTTTTGCATGTTTAGCAAGCTTTTATTTGCAAACGATAGGGTAGGACATGCTTGTCTAGCGTCTGTGCTTGAACATGTCGAATCTGGGAGATCTCCTATGCCTACGTGCCTTGGAGAAACATTTCGTGGCCTTGACGAAGCAAAAGCTGATCGGAAAGCCATCAGGAAGGGCTCTTTGGTACTGCTGCAGGTAAAAATACGTTCCGATTAGCCCCCGTGACACAAAACAGGCACCGTGTCACGGTGGGTGTCTGCCATGACACGGTGTAGTCTGCCGTGTCATGGGAATTTGCACGTTTTTTTTTTTTTTTTGGCATATTTGGTTGATGGAGCGTTTAGAACTATTCGATGCCCCCGATGATGTTGAAAAATATGGCCCTAACTACCTAGTTCGCAGGAAAAAGAATTACTCTGCGAACATGTCGTATGAAGACTGGAAAACTTTCTTTGCAAAGAAGGAATTTTCCATTCGTTGGGTGGTGCCTTGGTGGAGGCTTACTAGGATGGTTGGTACGAATGATACTCCATATTTCCGTGTTCCTAGTATCTCAAAACTGACTTTTTATTGTCCTTTTCGACTGATGCCGCAGTATGGACTTGAACAAGTAGTTCCACGCTATAACGATAGTCCTCGTGAAGTATCGTTGCATGAAATTAACGTTCACAAGTACGAGACTTACTGGATTGGAAGACCTTTGTGGACCGTTTCTGCAAGTGACCAAGCTCCTCCTCCTTTATCTAGTGTATACAAGGCATGGTTGAACCCTAGAAGTAGGAGAGAACGATTCGGATCACGCAAGTCTGATGTGAAGAGTCGTCTTGGAAATAAGAAAGCACCTCCTAAAGATCGTCTAGGTCCAAGAACACAAGGGATTGAGTTTAAGACTCCTATAATGCCGAAAAGGAAAAATTATGTGAAAGGGAAGGGTAAAGAGAAGATGGTCTATAGAGAGAAACAACTGAAGAATTTTAAGAAAGGTGAAAGGGGTGAAAGTTCGACTAGGGGTGTGACGGTTCGGGCTACAAAAGACACATTAATGGTGAAGGCCGACCTAATTCACAAAGAGAATGAGGTTCCTAAAGTGAAGAGGGATTAGATGAGTATTGCTTTGCTTTTATGATTTATAATTTTTTATTTAAAATAAGGCGTATGATGCCAATAATTGTAGTCACATTTATTTCAATAATAATATCATATTTATTTTAGCCTTAAATAAAAAATTACAATGACTTTTTATTTTTTTTTATTTATCCGAGTCAAGGAGTCGGACGCAATGGAAGAATGAAAACAAAAGCCTCAAATAATGAATTCGCAAAGAATGCGTCACTAAAAAAAAAAATCGAAAAACCTGAAAGTCCACCGTGTCACGGTAAAAATTCCCGTGACATGTTGCAAATTCCCGCGTCACGACAATTTTTTTTTTCAGGTCCACCGTGCCACGGTGGACTGTACCGTTACACGGTGGAATGTCCCGTGTCGCGGAAGAGATCTTTTTTTTTTTTTTTTTTCAGATCCACCGTGCCACGGTGGGTTGTACCGTGACACGGTGGAATGTCCCGTGTCGCGGCAGAGATCCTTTTTTTTTTTTTAGTCGTGACGTAATGCTGAATTGATGCGTATAATTGATCGACAGAGGGAGGAATTTATTTTTTGAAGTGGCCAGGCCCCCTTGAGGGGTTTCCTACCTGTCCTTAAAAAGGAATCAGGCCAAACGTAGCTCTATTAGGTCATGAACCCATGCGACTAGGCATAGAATTTCTTGAGTTGATCCAAGTTGGTTAATTTGTGGAAACCGTCACCGTCCATGTCTACCAATTGCACCGCTCCGCTAGACAAGATGGCTTTAACAATGTACGGGCCTGACCAATTTGGTCTGAATTTTCCTCTTGGATCTAACACATTTTTTAGAAGTGCTTTAAGCACCAGGTCACCCTCTTTGATGTTCCTAGTCTTGACTTTTTTTATAAAAGTGTCGCGCCATACGCTATTGATAGGTTTGGAAATGATGCAAAGCTACCAAGCGTTTTTCATCAAGTAAGACCAGTTCATCATATCTTGCTCTAATCCAGTCGACTTCATCTAGTTGGCTTTCCAATGCGATTCGAAGAGAAGGGATTTCGAGTTCAATTGGTTGTACAACTTCAACTCCATAGACCAAAGAGAAAGGGGTAGCCCCCGTTGATGTACAAAAAGAGGTTCGATATCCCCAAAGGGCGAAATGTAGCTTACTTGGCTAATCCTTGTAATTTTCTGTCATCTTTTCGATGATAGTTTTCACATTTTTGTTGGCCAATTCGACCGCACCATTTGCTTGTGGTCTGTAAGGTGATGATCTGTGATGCTTGATATGATATTTCTGTAATAATTCTGCGCATTCGGCTTGAAAATGCGTTCCATTAACGCTGATCATCTCATGTGGTACCCCATAGCGGCATATGATATTTTTCTCAATGAATTGAGCTACGTGTTTTGCCGTCAGCTTAGCATATGAGGCAGCTTCGACCCATTTGGTGAAATAGTCGATCGCTACGAGGATGAATTCGTGCCCCCCTTGTCCTGGTGGTGTTATTTTTCCAATGATGTCGATGCCCCATGTGGAGAAAGGCCATGGAGAAGTATATGTGTAGAGAAGCGAAGGTGGAACATGCTGTAAATTTGCGTAAACTTGACACTTCATACATTTCTTGACGTATTCGTAACAATCTCTCTCCATAGTAGTCCAATAATAACCTTGTCGTTGAATCTTTTGGACTAACATCTTTGCATTCATGTGCGTTCCACATATACCGGCATGAAGGTTTTCCATGGTTTTATGTGCTTCTTTCTTGGCTATGCATAAGAGATTTCTCCCCATTGCAGTTCTCTTGTGGAGTTCTCCCCTGATGAGCACATACTGTGAGGCCAGGAGCCTCAAAGCACGGCGTGCCCTTTTATCAGTAATAGGAGGGTATTCTCCTCTTGTCACATAATTAAGGATATCTGTATACCATGGCTCTTCATCTTCTTCTTGTGGTTCTTGTTCATCGTCGAGTGCGTGAACATAAGCCGGCTCATATCTTCTTTCAATGGTCAATGACATTCTGATTGTATCCGTTGGAATTCGCACCATTGATGCTAATTTAGCTAGTGCGTCGGCGAATTGGTTTTCTTCTCTCGGCAAATACGTATATTCCACTTCATCTAGTTGCTCCGTGAGAGTTTCTAAATGAGCTTGATACGTAGCGAGACTTTCACTTCTCACTTTCCATCTCTTGGAGATTTGGTTAATGATTAGTGAAGAATCACCGCAGATTCTGAGTTTCTTAATTCCCAAGGCGACAGCTGTTTCTAATCCCAAAATACATGCTTCATATTCTGCGGCATTGTTGGTGACATCAAAGTCGAGCTTCATGGAAATTGGGATGTGCTCTTCATTGGGTGACACAAGCAAGACTCCTACACCACATCCTTTTTGGTTTGAAGCTCCATCAAAATAGAGCGTCCAGCTATCATCTTCGGTCATGATTAAATCTTTGTCAGGGAAATCGTACTCATCTTCTTCTTTCTCAACTTCTTCTAGCGGAAAGTCTGCTAAGAAGTCAGAAACCGCAGAACCTTTGATGGCTTTTTGTGGTACAAATTTCAAGTCAAACTGAGAAAGATTGACTATCCACCTTGATAATCTGCCATTGAGTGTTTCTTTTTCGAACAAGTATTTGAGAGGATCCATCTTGGACACGACATGCACTGTATGAGTGAGCATGTAATGTCTTAGTTTCTGCGCGGCCTATACAAGTGCGAGACACAATTTTTTAAGTGGTGTGTACCGTGTCTCATATCCTTGAAGCTTCTTACTCAAGTAGTAGATTGCATTCTCCTTGCTTTCAATCTCTTGTGCTAGCATTGCCCCCATCGTTTCTCTTGTGACCATAATGTATAGTCGAAGAGGAAAGTCAGGTATTGCTGGCGCTAGCACGGGTGGGTTTGCCAGGTACTCTTTGATTTTTTC